TTCTAATTTATAACTACCCGGGTACCGCCTTAACAATTTACGCTTCTCTATACACCGTTTTTATACTCTGGCAGTATACCGAGAGCCCATCCGAGGAAACGACAATCCAACACACGAGGAACAGAGCCTCGAAACACCAAATTGGCTTCTACTCCTATCCTGCAATACAATAAGTAGCCTTTTAAACCTTTTTTATGTCTTAGACACATTTATTCCTTCCCTTTACTCTCTTTGTTCACTCACCAACTCACCTAACCTAGAAATTTCAGGTCTCGAGTCAAGCCGGATTAAGACTCGCTGGTATTTATTTAATTTGATAACCCGCCGTGAGGTTTACGCCGAGGACCTTAACTCGAGATATTATCTCCGGTTATCCTGATAGGAGACGGGAGTTCTCTTCTGAAGAAGAAGAAGAAGAAGAAGAAGAAGAAGAAGCTAAGTTGTAACCGATCTTCATAAAATGTTTCTGCTTTTAAGATTCAGATAACCTCCAAGTTACAACCCGGCTTTCCATCTCCGTCCGAGAGATTAATTAATGATGCAATTCTTACCAAAGGATCTTAAGGAGATCCAAGTACTATCCTAGTGTAAATAATGGATATAAAAAAATAATAAGAAATATTTTTTTCTTAAAATTAATTAATATTTTTGAGGAAATTTCCGATAAATTTACTCATTAAATAATTATTAACATTTAATAGACTAATAAAACAATATAGCGCTCTGAATTACCGGTATACACTTGACAACACAAAAAGAGACGCCCTAACCGTTAAATTTATTTATGTTTACTGTCTAACTAAAATTACTAAGATCTAGCATTTAAAAAACCGCGGGTACTTATGCTTTGGGTAACTAAGCAAGCGGTGTTGCCAAGTCAAATACAAGACTTTAAAGAACGCAAGTGTCCGAGTGATTTTTCATAAAAAATCTAAAATATCTCCGTAATACCTTCGGAAAGCTACTTTTTTATTGTTTTAATCGAAAGCTTATTATTTTTTCAATCAAATTCAATGAAAATAAAATTTTTTTAAAATCGTTAATTGCATTAAATTCTTAACCAAATACCGGCTAGTGGAATCTCTATTCATGTAAAAATTACAATTTTTTAATTATTTAATTAAATCCCGGAAACCTGTTTTTTAATTTTATTAGTTATTAGGTTACGTAGATTGAATTTACAAATTTTCAGGAAGTTTTAATAATTTGACTCCTTTGCGTGGATATACTTAATACTGCTTAAATCTATATAACTGGCAAAATATAATCGTTTAAATCCGTACCAGTTAATTATAATCAACGAAAAATTCTTAAAACTGAAGAGAGAGCAATCAGCTGTTAGATCTGAAGCCGCCATTGAAGATATCAACCCGCGGGATTTTCAAAAATCTTGAATATTAGCGGGAATTTACAAATTTTCAGGAAGTCTTAAAAATTTGACTACTTCGCGTGGATCTCTTTAAAGTTAGCTTGGAAAATAAAAAGAATTACAAGTTAAATAATATGACATACTTATGATAACTCCGCGCCATTTTGTCTTATGAATATATAAGCCAGGCATATGAGCACAAAAGTAAGGTTATTTTATTTTTATTATATAGAATTTTTTATTAGTAATCGTTATTGAAAAGAAAGTAACATTTATGTGAAGGTAAACGACGATCGAAATGCGGAAAAACGCTTCCGGAAATTAGAATTGCAAATTTCATTTTCTTAATGGGGCGGCAGCGCCTGTGGAACCTTGAAATGCCTTACATTTTCTTGAGCCTTCAACCTGGGAGCCCGGTTAACCATTCCATGCAGGTCAGATCGTTTAGCAATGATAAAAAATATCGTAAATTTAAAAATACGGAGCAGAAAAGTGAAGGAAGAAATAAAAAAAGTTATAAAGTATTGTATACTTAATTATTAATGAGGTGATTCCATCTATTTGTTTTCACAAGTTTAACTTGGTATTAATAAAGTATATTATTCGATAGGAAACTGAAACCGAGGAGATGACTAAGTCTCAGAGTGGACTTCTGGACAGTTGGACAGTTCTAGACAAACTTGTGGCAAGTCTGGAATAGATACCGGAGTCTACTGATAACTTCAGTTGGTAATGCTCCGATGTCTTATGTCCCGGAATCAACTTTGTGACGGGTGTCTTTATCTAATTATACTTTTCTTTATACAATCTAATCAAAACTCGATTACCATGCTATTGATTTATCTCTTTGTTTGAAAATATATTACAGGAAATAAAAATATATAAAAGGAGCCACTCTGAACAATATTACATTTTAAATTTCCAATTTTTTAACTACCTTAGTAGCAATTTGGTAAAAGCCTTGTGCCAGCATGGATCAAGATACTTTAGAAAGATTTTAGATCAACAATTGGTCCAGATTATTGGTCAAAATTTGACAAAAAATTTGGGGCCATCTATTGCTAAAGTTTGGGACTATCCTATAGAGTATCTCATTCTATTGAAAAATATTTTACTATTTCTTGTGATAATTTAACTTTTTATATATAGTAGCAAGCTAAATTAATTTTTTAAACTTGTTGACTAGACCTATAAGTAAAAATCACTGCAATACTATACTTTTCACATTCAAGTGGAAAGGAGAGAAACATTAGGTGCGCACTCGTCGTTTTTTGCGTTTCTCAAGCAAGTCTATGTCAGGACTCGGCATGGGTCAAGAATTTGGTCAAATTTTGGGCACAGACTGTCTCAAAAGTCTGTCGCCAGTTTGAATAAAGAATCTTGATCAAGTGTCTTGGTCAAGAAGTGTCCAATTCTTTACAAAGTGCTTCTCTAAGTATCTTGCCCAATTCCATTGCTACTATTTTGATTTATTGTAAATAGCTGATTACATTTCTAAAATTTTTGATTGTTTTATTAGCAAAATCCAAATATTCATGTAGATCTATTTATACTCTTTTATTTTTGTATTTTTGCCATTCAAATTAAATAAATAAATAAAAATAAAATTTTTTTTGGTTAAAAGTTTAGCCGAGAAGAAGAAAAAGAGAAGAAAAAAAAAAAATAAGCTTCTTTACTTACTTGGAGTAAAGAATCGATCAAGTGAATAATAAATTTTATTTAAAAAGAAGATACTCTTGAATAATTCACCTCGGGGTCTTAATAATTAACAACAGATACTTTTTAGCATAGAGAAAAATGTTTGCATCAAACTGCCAAGTTTTAAAACTTTTAAGCAAACTAGATATTTTAAAAATTCATCCTATCAAAAAGTTTGTGACAACTTACACTAAAAGTATTGATGAGATAATAAAATTTAAGGTAAATTTAATAACATGATTTTTTGCTTTTCTTTCACGTTTGCTGTTATAAACTTTTAGAGTTAACCTCTACCGGGGGGAATTTATTATCAAATGTTTCTGTATTGGGAAAATGAGCAGTAATTGACCGACAGTAAAAGTTAATTTTAAATATTATGTTGGATAAAAGGCCCAGGTTTTAGTTTTAGGTTTTATAAGCCGGGGTTAGGTACACGTGAATCGTTCCTTGAATTCTAAACCAGTGAACTGGTACAGAGCACTAACTTTTCGAGAATATGAGCATCCAGAGTGCTCCGGAATTGCCTCTCTAGGAAAAAGTTAAATAAAGTACCGCAAGATTCAAGAAGCAAGCTCAATAAGATTAATTGTTTTTTTCTGAACTAGATTTTTTTAATTCCCTGCTTAAAAATATTGATTGAAAATTTCAGGCTTTATGAGGCGTGCAAATTTGGTTACTATAATTAAAAATGGCTGACTTACCGATCGGCAATTGTCGGGATTGAGCGTATCAATGTTAATTACCTGTCTCTGATGTCTCTTATGTAATTATCGGGTCAGTTATAATTAAAATCTTCCAATTAAAATAATTAACACGACTAGACGCCTGGAAAATTAAAGTCAGATTATTTAATAGCGTATTTTTGTTCGGGTTTTTTTTTTTTGATACTACTTGTAAATAATATAAACATAAATTTGTACTTACATTAAAGCGTCTTTACGTTTCACAGCCGAGTTAAGACTCATATATAATTTCCGGGGTGAAATAAACGCTATCTCCGGGCAGGAAGTCTAACAGACAACGTAAAAAATTATTTTTTAAAGGTTTTAATATTTAAATGTCTAATCTGGACATTTATTTAAATATGAAACAAAAAAATGTCGGGTTTAAATTACTTGTTTATATTTTATAAAACAAAAAATTGTTTAGAAGCTTTTTAATTTAGTTTTTAAACAATTTTTATAAAAAATTCTTTGTAATTAATTTTTGCAACAAATTTTTTAAATTAATTTTTATAAAAAGTTCTTCTTAATTAATTTTATTTTTTAAATTCTTTTTAATTGATTTTTTTAAAAGATTTTAATAATTAATTTTTGTAAAAAATTTTTTTAATTAATTTTTATAAAACATTCTTCTTAATTAATTTTTTTAAAAGATGTTTGTAATTAACTTTTTTAAAAGATTATATTAATTAATGTTTGGAAAAAATTTTTTTATTAAGTTTTTTGATAAATTTTTGTAAAAATAACGTTTTAGTAAATTTTTTTAATAAATTTTTGTAAAAAATTCTTTTTAGTTAATTTTTTTAATTAATTTTTATAAAAAGTTCTTTTTAATTAAATTTTTTTAAAAAATTCTTTTTAATTAATTTTTTTAAAAGATTATATTAATTAATGTTTAGAAAAAATTTTTTTGTTAAGTTTTTTTGATAAATTTTTGTAAAAAATTCATCCCTAATTTTTTTAACACTTGTAATTTTTAAAAAAATTTTATTCCAACCTCAAAATTATCCCAAAAAAAAATAAATAATCCAAAAAAATATTGACTTACGTATTTTAACCGGAATCAGCGGTTTTTTAATAAACTGTCGCTACCGTCGCGAATGTGGAACTAAAAAATATGTCAGGTGTATTGCATGTCACTGTCATCTGTATGAAGTACAACGCTAAAAAGATCTGAGGGAAAAGGCGAGACCCAAGAGACTTATTAAGAAATGTCCCAAGCTAATTCATTCCAAAGAAACGATTGTAAGTTTAAATCCATAAAAATTCCTCATTCTTTACCTTAATTATCAAAATCCAATATTGTCAATAAAAATAAACTAAAAAATATTTGGTGATTACTGACGTTGTCAATCGTAGCGGCACTGACAATGGCGGTTGCGTTTTATTTACATTTAAAATTTTTAAATGGCTGCAGATTTTTTCTTTATTGTTGGTTGACACTTTTTCAGGGGAGACCGAGTTTGATGAGCTGAGGAACATTCCTGATGAAGTTTTGAGGTGACTTTTTTTATTTATTATTATTATTATTATTATTATTATTATTGGTAGTGATTTAATTACAATGAGATTATTTCAATGTAATTAAATTGATAGCGTGTACGAGGTGTATGTGAAAGGCGACAGTCCGCAAGATGAAAGGAGTAATATCTCGAGTGTGTCTGGCGTGTCGAGTGGAAGTGATCAATCGTTAGTTCAGGTAAATTCTCCGTTTAATTTTAATTCATTTTTTTTTTAATTAATTAGTATTAATATTTATAAAAATTACAGATAATTTTTTTCAGTTATTTAATTATTTAAAAAAATATTTAGAAAAAAATTCAAGCTTTAAAAATAATAAGAATTTTTTATAAAAATTCCAAAAAACGTCAAATTGTCACTTAAATATTTTTTTAATTATTTTAGTGTAAGAATTTTTTTTAAACAAAAATTTTTTAGAATTTATTTAAAAGTTTAATAAATTGAGCTGTCACTTGGTAATTTTTTTTTACAAAATAATTATTAAAAAATTGCATTTTAATAATTTATTTGATGAAAATTAAGTTAGCCGACATTTAAAAATTTTTAGAAATGTTTTTTATTGAAAAATTTATTACAAAAAAATTTTTAAAAAAATACCACTTGTAAAAAACTTGAAAAACTGTAAGTGAAATTAAAAAAAAATATTTTTTTGTTTTAATTTAATTATTAAAAAAAAATCAAATGATTAAAAACGTCGGCTAACTTTAGTATCATATTTATTTGTTAAAAAAATTATAAATTAATTTTTATTTAAAGGTTATGTTTTTTGACAGGTCAATAATTTTTAGGTTATAATTGAACTGTTGACTTTTTAAAAGTTTCAAAAGTTTAATAAAAATTTTTAAATGATTATTTTTAAATGATAAATAAAATTTTTGATTTTTTTTTTTTTTAATTAAATTACAACTAAAAAGATATTCCTAACAAATTGCACTCATAGTTTTTCAAGTTTTTTACATGTGACAATTTTTTTTTAATTGTTAAATTGAAATTTTTTCAATGAAAAAATTTCTAAAAATTTTGAAATGTCAGCTAACTTCATTTTCATTCATTTAAAGGTTATGTTTTTGACTGGTCAACAATTTTTAGGTTATAATTGAACTTTATTGACTTTAAAAGTTGAATAAAAATCAGCTGATTATTTAAAAATAATTATTTTTTAACAAATTATTTAAAAAATAATATAGCATTTTTTTTTATAATTTCTAAATATTAATTTTTTTTGCCATAATTTGTTAAAAAATTAATTAAATAAAAAAAAATGAGTAATTTAAAAAGAGTTTAATAAAATAAAATAATTTAAAGGAATTAGACACCGGCGATAAAAATGTTATAAAAATATTCGGGAAGAAACTAGATCCGCAGCCGTCTAAGAACAAGGTAATTATTAATTTAAAAAGTTATTGACAAGTTTAAAGTTATAAAGCAGAAGTAAAACTTTTGAAAATCCCCTTGTATTAAATCTAAACTTTTAAATAAAGCTTTGAGGAGTTAAAAAGCCAACTATTTATTATTTAGATCCAATCTGAAGAAAATATAGTAGAGTCTGTTGCTGTACCGCAAATTTCGGCAAACGACTCTTCGACATCGCGTCTGATTGATAAGGATGATCCACGATCGCGGCTTCATTTTGTAAAGTATCTAAAACGGGAGGGCAAGACTCTTAAAATATGGGAGTGCGGTATCTGTAAGTAATTTATGTTTTCCCATTTCCTCGATTTGGCTCCTTCGCCTCAAGCTCTTTTATTTCTTTCCTCTCTACTCATCCTCAACCTTTTTTTCAGGCACCAAAGAATTTCGGCACCAGTACACACTGATGAGACACTTGCCGACTCATACTGACGAGCGTAACTTCAAGTGCGAGGCTTGTGGAAAAGCTTTTCGTCAACTTTCCACTCTCAGCCAACACAAGGCTATTCACAGCGACGCTAGACCTTATGTATGTGATTTTTGTAAGAAAACTTTCAACAGGTTTGTTTTTTATCTAATAAGTATTTATCTTTTTATTATTGATGTTTTATTTTAAGATTTTTTAATAATGATAAAAATAAAATACTCTATCTCTAGATACATAATTAAGAAAAGATCTTGTATCTTGTGAAATATTGACATTTTTAAAGATATAAGCTCATCCTGATGTTACACTCATCAAGAGCTTTCATTTGAGTACCCACATACATTTTTGATATATTTTTCATATATACATATATATAATATATACAAATATATGAAAAATTGATGAGGGTACTTATATGAAAGGTCTTGAAGGGTGTAACATCGGGATGAGCGTATATCTTTAAAAATGTCAATAATTAAAAAATTACCTTGTATCCTGTGAACTATTGACATTTTTGAAGATATGAGCTCATCCTGATGTTACACTCGTCAAGACCTTTCATTTGAGTACCCACATCAATTTTTTATATATTTCATATATTTATATATCATATATATGTACATATGAAAATTATACCAAAAATGCATGTGGGTATTCAAATGAAAGCTCTTGATGAGTGTAACACCGGGATGAGCATATATCGTTTAAAAAAGTCATTATTTAAGATAGTACAGTGTAATTTAACAAAGCAAAATTTCATTTTTTTTAATTATTTATATTAATATTTTTTTTATAATAAAAAAAAATATTAAAAAGTTATAAAATAAATTTTTTCTTTAATAATATAAAAAAAAAGAAATTTTAAAAAAGATAATATTCTTGAATCAAGTTAACCTTCGGTAGAATGTAGGAATAACTTTTTAAGGATTGACAAATAAAAGTAAAACCATTTCAGGGTTTCCACGTTGATATCCCACAGAAAAACTCATTCTGAGAATAAACCGCACAAGTGTAATGTTTGCGGCAAGGGATTTCATCAAAAAGGTATTTATTTAAAAGTCTTCATCCCAAGTGTTTTTTTAAAAATTCCTCTACTCATTGCATTTTATTTACTATTGTATTATTTTTTTTTTTTTTTTTTTTTCTTTTCTACATTAGGTAACCTGAGAAATCACGTATTTACGCACACAAACGAACGGCCTTACAAATGTGAGCTGTGTAACAAGGGCTTCAACCAGATGTCCAATCTAGTCTGTCATAAAGTTAAATCGCACGCCCACGTCGAAAAAATGCAATACTCGTGCGGTATCTGCGGGAAGGAGTTCCCCAAACGGTTTGCTTTGCGCTCACATGAAGAAGCTAAGCACGGAATAAAATATCGCAATCCATCGGCTTCCCAATCTCGCGTAACCCAATCCAAGAAGAACATACGGATCGTTGAACTTCCTAATGATAATGATAATGATAATGATAATAACAACGATTTTCTTGAGACCGGGGACAGTCTGACGGAAAATGATAAGGGCAAGAAGCTCACTGAGGGCATTGACAATATTTTACTCGATAAAATAGAGACCAAGGCCATGGAGAACACTATTCTGATGGGACAGATGCCGTTTGCTTTGTACAAACCTGTCAAGGGGATTCCTGTGTTGGTTAAAATCATTCCGGCCGGGCTTAGTCATCATGTTAGTATAGATTTTTTTATTAAAAATTTTTTAAAAAATTATCTATATTATTAAGAGAATAGATACATAATTAAGAAATTACCTTGTATCTTGTGAAATATTGACATTTTTAAAGATATAAGCTCATCCCGATGTTACACTCATTAAGAGCTTTCATTTGAGTACCCATATGTATTTTGATATATTTTTCATATGTACATATACATATAATATATATAAATATATATGAAAAATTGATGTGGGTACTCAAATGAAAGGTCTTGATGAGTATAACATC